GGCCCCGGTCACTCGGCAGGCGCACAGAAATGGCCCGGCGGGCGCCATAGCGCCTGCGGGTGCCATGGCGCCCGCGGGCACCACGTTGGGGACCACTGATTTAAAGAATCCCTGAAACTGTCTCTCAGGGCTGGCTGCTGCTCTCTGGTAGCTGTCAGACTGCATGCATGCATAATAAAGTTTTCCTTCTAGGTTTCTCTCCTGCCTCACTGTTTTGACCTCCAGCCTCGGACCCTTCTGGGGGCTTTGTACCCCAGGGGAGCGAGATTTCCCCCACAATTTGGTGTCAGAAGTGGGATGGCTTGGAACTCCAGTTGGAAAGGCTGATGACGGGGAATGGGAACGGACTACAGCACACATCTGGAGGGTAAGGGATCCATTTAAAATCCCCCAGTCCGCCTCCCTGTTCTCGTCATCAGCTGGTGGTAAGAGTCATCTTTTACTCCAAAATTTTCTTTAAGAGGCTTGAGGGAGATTTAAAATGAAAACACTGGGTATAGCCAAATAGGGCTTGGATTTTGTTGTGTTGATGACTGATTGGTGGTGAGTCCAAGCACATGGTTTTGAGTGAGTGAAGTCCAGAATGGGACCGCAGCTGCATCGGTGCTGTCAGTGTCACTGCACAGCTGCTGAAAGCAAGGGCAGTTTCCCCCAGCACATAAGGAGTGTGAGTGAAGCTTACAGTTTGTGTGGACTCCCACACTATCCTTGGAGAGGGTAGTGTTGCTGGACGCCTGTGCTATCCTTGGAGAGGGTAGTGTTGCTGGACGCCTGTGCTATCCTTGGAGAGGGTAGTGTTGCTGGACGCCTGTGCTATCCTTGGAGAGGGTAGTGTTGCTGGACGCCTGTGCTATCCTTGGAGAGGGTAGTGTTGCTGGACGCCTGTGCTATCCTTGGAGAGGGTAGTGTTGCTGGACGCCTGTGCTATCCTTGGAGAGGGTAGTGTTGCTGGACGCCTGTGCTATCCTTGGAGAGGGTAGTACTGTTGGGCTCCTGTGCTGTCCTTGGACAGGGTGCTAACATGGGTGGGATTGTTTTCTCGAATGTGTCTCCGACCGAGGGGAAAGGTTTCTCACAGCCTGGGACTCCCTTGTCTCAGATGATCAGTCAGCTAGGTATTGCCTGCAGGTTTGAAACTAAGGAGGCTTGAGAAATTATTGAGCATTTGGAATGGCTATACTCAGGGGAATTCCCAGAATAAATGGCAACTAGAGCTTTGATTTACAAAAGCTAGCTTATCTTAGAGTTTTCCTCGAGGAAAAACATCCTAACCAGATGGAATATTGGTGCCTCTGGGAGGATGTGACAGTAAGAAAAAGAATCAGAGCAGTATGGCTAGCCAAAAGATTCTATTGAAAAGCTGCAGCAAGAATTGGCTACTCTAAAGAAACAGCTTGATTCCCCAGATGTGCCATCTGCACTCCCACCCCGCTTTGGACCCTTGTCAGCTGAACATTCTTTCCTGTTATCTCCCTGTTCTCCTGTAAACCTTATGGGACGTGACTTGTTCCCTGTTCTCCTGTAAACCTTATGGGACATGACTTGTTGTGTAAATTGGGTGCAAACCTTCTCTGTACAGAGGAAGGGATATTTGTTGACCTTCTCCCCTATCAGGCTCCAAATCTGATGGCATTACTACTCTCAGGGGAATCTGATGAGACCTCAGGACATGCACCCCTCCTGGACCTCTCAGATGACATTGTGGGCAGCCCATTGTGAATGAAGTGGGGTTGCTAGCCTCTGCAACCCCAGTGCAAATAACATACAGACACAACACGCCTTTCCCAAGGGTACCCCTGTATCTATTGTCTAGGGAGGCACAAGAGGGTATTAAGCCTGTAATCTCTTCCCTCCTTGAACAAGGGATACTTGTTTATACAACTTCACCATGTAATACACCTATTCTACCTGTGAAAAAGGAGGAAAAATTTAACAGACAGGGTAAGCAAATCTATAGATTTGTACAAGACCTAATAAGTTTGTAATCCCTAGATTTCCAGTAGTACCTAAGCCAGCTACTATTCTTTCCTCTATTCCACCCACTTCTAAATGATTTTCTGTAATAGATTTATGTTCTGCCTTCTTTTCTATTCCAGTGCATAAGAATTCCCAATTTCTCTTTGCCTTTTCCTTTCAGGGTCGTCAATTAACCTGGACATGTTTTCCCCAAAGGTATTGTGAAAGCCCTACTCTGTTTTCTCAGTTTTTAAAAAACTGACCATCATTCTATCCCTCTTCCCTGCAGCTCTGTGTTGGTTCAGTATGTTGATAATGTGTTAATTGCTAGCAAAACTGAGAAAGGGTGTAAAACTGATACCTTGTATTTGTTAAAGTGTCATGCTGAAAAGGCTCACAAGGCTTCCAAAGCCAAATTGCAATTTGTAAAACAAAGAGTTCAGTACTTGGGACATTTACTTTCAGGAGATGGCTGCCAGTTAACACCTGAGCAAATCTCACAAGTTCTTTCCATTCATTGCCCTTTAGCCAAATGTCAGGTACACAAATATCTGGGTGATGCAGGATATTGCGGACAATGGATTCCTAACTTTTCTGGACTCACCAGACCCCTTACTATTCTTTTCATAGACTCAGCTCCTGACCCAGTGACCTGGTCCCCAGAATGTGAATCTGCTTTCCTTTCCCTTAAAACTCTTCTCTCACAGACCCCCACTCTGGGCTTACCTAATTATAGCAAGCCCTTTACTCTATTTTGTCATGTGCAGGATGGAATTGCAGCTGGAGTTCTCTGTCAACCCCTTGGACCCACACCTCATCCAGTAGCTTATTTTTCTGCAACACTGGACTCAGTAGCCCGTGGGTTCCCACCTTGCCTGATGGCAGTTGCAGCTACTGCTGAATTACTTGAAAAAGCCCAACCTGTCACATTGGGCCACAGCATTATCTTACAGGTCCCTCATGCTGTCTCTGCTCTCTTACAGCGACACCGCACCCAGCACCTGTCTCTTCAGAGACAAACCCGGTGTGAGAATGTTATCCCCTCTTCCCCAAATGTGGTAATTCAAAGATGTAATGT